TTTTTTTTTTTTTTTACCAAGATGGACTTACCACCACTTTCAAAATAAACGGTCCACTTTTTTCTTTTTGTTTGCATTCAGCAATCTTTCCCTGACATCTGCATCGTCTTCGAATTACGAATACGCGCGCACGTATTAGCTTTTTCGCGAAGTTCGATTCGCTCTGAAACAGACCGAAGTAACTTTGAGTAACGAGTAATGAAAAAAGCGATGATCCGACTGACCAAATTCAAACGTCCGAACAATCGACTGACGCCATTGTTTCTGAAACAAATTCTCCATTTAATCGCGCTTCAGTTGGATTCAGAGTGTCGTGTCGACGTCTCGCGGCTAATTTCATTCGAACACGTCGAACGAAATTGCACGAGTTTCGTTTGCCTGTAGTAAGTTGGCGGCACGTGCTCACTTCATCAGAAATAGAATCGCGAGTGATCATCGCGAGCGAGGTCAGTGCTCGGTGTGTAAAAGAGACTGACACGTGGATTTTCGCCTGATTTCCCGTAATTTCATCGACCGCATCCGATTCGACGAAAATTCTAAACAATTGTGGGCATTATCCAAATCACTTCAAAGAAATATCTGTCTAAAAAACAAAATAAAATATTATATTTCGTTCTTAGTCGAATATTTTATCTAGATGATAAAATATTCTCGTTCATTTGGAGGAAAGATTATTGTAAACTCCAGTACGAAATGAATTGCCTAATAAAATATGAACAGTGTGAAAAGATTGTTTCATATATTAAACACCTTTCTTACGATATACACGATGTAATTGTAAATAAATAATAATAACAAGATTGGATCTTCGTCCAAATACACATAATACACGAATAAATCCTTTAGATAAATATTCGAGTAAATTTTTTATTTCTCATGTCGAAAATTTGAAATTTTCACCTACAGAGACAAATTGTATTAATCGGCTCTTCGATTAATCTTAACCTCGATAATTTTCAAAAGTTGAAAAGAGTAGATTGATTCAGAACATCTCGTAAAAATTCTAGCGGACGAATTTGGTCCGTGACAATAAGTTTTTTTGCTCATGCTGTTCATTCGTATTGACAAAATGTTCCCTTCTCATTCGGAGAAATCCGATTAACTTTGAAGGATGCCTGGTTGATTCCTCGCTGCAATAAACCGTGGTCGAACGAGCAATTGTTCAGCGAATATATCTGCATATCTGTCTGGCTTCGTTGTCGTGTCAACTTTTATACATACTTTGTAGAGCTTGTACCAGACAATTGAAAATTAATTAAGCGAAATGAAAATGTTCGTGATATTGAAAAAAATTTTTTTTTCATTTATTCCTCGTAAATTACCATCTGTTATAACAATAAGCAATAAGCAACTGTTATGACAGAAATAATAATGAATACAAATTAATGAATAAGGTGCCCATTAACATCTCTCTTCCCATGTATATAATTTATTTTATACCTATTTATATATTTAATTTATCTGTGTATAATTTTATTATTCTATTAAATTTATCTTTCACAACATATAGAACATCACAACATATTGAAATCTTCGTGTTAAATCTGTTGCTCCTTCTCGTAATTGCTTGTTCAGTTTGTTAGCTAGTTTTTGCTAGTTGAGTTATTTGCATGTTTCCTGTTGAATTCTTTGCATCGATTTCTAAGTTTTTATGAAATCTGTAGAATCAGTCTGTCTGATTCGCCGATGTTGAGCCACATACATTGCAACATGCATCATGAAACCTAGAAATGTGTTTCAACGTGTATGGGCGTCCTTTACTTTTTCTCTGTAATAGTGTAATTGTCTCTCGAAGCCGTGAAGTCACGCTCGAACATCCTAGTATTATATGTAAACACCATCGTAAATAACAATAGTTTGTCCCAGGTAACTTGGCGAAAAAATTAGATTTGATTTTTCAAAGAACAATCTCGCCGTCTTCTCGTCAAATCACTCTACAAGAGCATTCTCAACGTAGGATTCAATCTGACTTTCAACTAAACTAGCGGTTATTCTTAACCCATTTCATTACATTAAGTTGCAGCATAGACAGTTGGAATCGATTGCAGAGAATCAACTACTTGCAAACAGGCTGCAACGAGACTCTCTGTCAAATATCATAACAAAAACTTTCTCGAGGACAGTCTGTCAGCTCTGAAAGATGGCGAGTATCTGAGAGTCGGCCATTAACAACTTCTAATATATGCAGTCCTGATTGGCCGGACGACCGATCTGAAACCGGATGCACAGCCGGAACCGGAACCGGAACCGGAACTAGAACAGGGATTACGATTGGAGATTATGACTCATCCTAAGATATATAAACCCCAGTTATTGGATCCCATCCTCAGTTTCGATCTTGCTCGAGTTCAAGCAACATGGAGTTCTTCAGATCACTTCTTCGCGCTGTCGGACTGCTGGAACCGTCCAAGGTAGATTTTATTGCCGAACTACCTCTGGAGGTTTCTCAGCTGATACTGCGTAAGTTGGACCCTGAGTCTCTGCTGTGTGCCGCGCAAGTCTCACGAAATTGGATGACAATTTGCAAGTCGGACAAGATCCTCCGAGACACGGCGAGGGATCATAATCAGAGAATAAGGAGGAAAATGATGGGTAAGATTCTAGGGCTGGACCTGGTCGCGGAAGATGAGATGGAAATGATACGAAGGAGGCATGCACGGAGAAATACACTGCCTTCGAAAGCTCCGACAACGGTGGTCTTTGCTAAGACTCGAGAGCCCCGTGGTCTTCCGAAACGGCCCAAGGTAAGTCGCTCCTCCAACTCGAAGCCAGTTAAATGTATGAGATTTTAGGTTAATACAGATTATTTTTCGACATATTTGCAGCGCAAATACTTTTATTAGTAATAAATATAAATGACAAATGTTTGCAATGCAAATGTTTTTTATTAATAATAAATATAAATGATAAATTACAGCTAGTGGTAAGGATTGATTTAGTAAAGTAAGATTAGAAATAGTAGTAAAAATATTTTAATTTGATGAAATTGAAATATAATATTTAGAATTAAAGAATTCTAAATATTTATTTAATATTATATAATAAATACATATATATATATATATATAATACAAAATGTATTTATGTTAAATAAATATTTTACAAGACATAAAATATTTATTTAATATAACTCGCAATGCATTTTGGACAGGTTCAACATCTCATGAGATATTCCGATTTTCGAAACATTTTGTACAGTTTAAGATATAATATTTAATTTACGTAAAATTATTAGTATATTCTAAGTATTCGGAAATAAATCGTACGGCAACGGTGAAGTATGTTATAGTGAGAAAATTCCACTATAACATACTTCAAGACTGTAATAGAATATAATCATGAAAAGATTTGTATTTTCACAATTTTCGAGAAAACCGTGCTCTGGGAAAATCATATTCGAAAGAAACGGGAGCTCGCGATTATTAAAGTAGAGGCTTTGAAATAAAACCAAGTAGATCGTTGTATTTGTTGACAAAGTCATATGAAAATCATATCGATGTAAATTATCGGCAATTTTGAGGATATTTCGTCTTCCACGACGCGCCATCGCAATTTCACCCTTAAACTTGTCCACCAGTAAAACCAGCATAACCTCTCTGGCAATAAAACTTGCTGTACGATCAACTTTATCAACGTGTTCCTTTGTTACCTGCGACGGGTATAATCCGAGTAAAATCGTCTACATCATCAGCGTGGAAACGAATCGATGTTAGCGGTTGGCGCAAGCGCCGAGGGGGTTTGCGCCCCTGCTTCGAGGCGAGAAGATTGACAAATTCCACCAAAACAAACCAGTGAGCATGGACACTAAGAATACGTAGCTGTTAGAGATCCATCGTTCTTCTTCTTTCCCTTTTTACATCATTCATCGATAGTGATTTAGCCAACATGAGTCCTGGACTCGGACACGATCCTCTTCCTTCGTACAATATCACCGCGTTAGGTAAAATCAAGCATGCATATTCGTTCACCCTTGCACGTTTACCTCTCCCACGTAACAATTCAATTGGTGGTGGATCGCACGAATTTGATCAAACGTCGTCATTTCTCGATCACGTTACAGGTAACACGGCGTTGTGCCTGTGGCAGCAACCGCAGCATATATTGTTTCAACTGGCCAATTTCTGCTTCGCGTTGTCGTATTCGGCACCCTCGTCGAGGAAAGGGATTTTATTTATGCATTCTGTCTTAATAATAGGTGAGTAAATTGTCGATTTACGAAGAGAACATTCGTCGGAAAGAACCGACAGATTTTTTTTTCCCCTTCCCCAACGAATAATCCTTAAATCGAACGAGTTCTCTTCTTTTCCCCTTTAAATCAAGCTTTCTTTAAATTAAGTTCCTTTCGTTTCATTTCAGGCTTCATGCTGCTGTCAGGCTGGGCATGGCACGTGATCTGCGCACCCGATATATTTTCCTGGAACTTCAGTTTCCTGGTGTTGAACATCGGTCAACTGGTTTACATCGTTTATCAAATGAGACCGGTCCGATTCGACCCTGAACTGGAGGAAGCGTATCACACACTTTTCTATCCGTTCAAAGTGAGTAGCTCGAACAATTCGGTAACAACACGAATTTGTGTGCAGTTAGCGTTACACTGCAACACAGAGAATGATGGCTGCTCACGCGATTGAAGTGTTTAATCATTCGCGTGTCCGCAGGTATCGGGCAATCTTAACATCGAATCTCGTTTGCCTCGGTGCTAATTTAAACGTAACGTCGCGGGGACGTATCGAAAAATATTATTCTCGTAACGAAACAGCAATCTAGATTATCAGGACTGTTACGTTTTCGAAGAAACAGCACACGTACATGTTGAGCTTCTTCTTTCTTAAATCCTTTGTTCCGCATATGTATGAAACATCGGATTATCTGACGTGGTGTCACACTTTGGAGT